TATGTATAAAGAAAAATATAAATTCTGTACGATTTTAAATTCTAAGCTACATAAATTCTATTTTCGTTATCGGACAGAATTTATATTTTTCTTTATACATATATTGTACATGACGTAAATTCTTGATACTCCAATGGGAAGCTATTATTAGAATAGAAAATAAAGTATAAAAATCGAGGACGACCTACGCTAGGTAAGATCTTACGTAACGTCAATCGGTCGTTTCTGGAATCGACGAGCAAAAGGACGAAATAAAAAGCGAGAGAGGGTGGTATAGAAAGGACGGCCGGAAGCGATCACGAGAGGCAGATGGCAGACGGGAAGGATGTGCGGTTTTCCACATGTGTCAACCGGTCTACCAGCGTAAAACCGCGCCCACCAGAAGAAAGCGAGCCGCGCTTCGGGACTGACCGGAAGCGGCGACCGCTTTCTACGGTCTCCACCGACCCGCGAATCGGTTAACGATCGCGCGCGAGAATTCGACGATTACCGTCGCCGTTGCACACCGCAGGTGAAGAGTTACCGGTTCACGCATCGGGAGATGTGCTAATTAGGTGAAAGCCTCGCTCGCGACATTCGAGCTCATCGGCCTCGTTATAGTTAGTCAAAATTACATGCTTTCTTAGACTGCGAATTTTTATCCTTTTATATAAAAATTATATATTATATAATCTGTCTTATATTGCAATTTCTTTTATCATTTAGGTATTGCNGCAATGTACTAATTTATTGTAATTTATGAAAACCACGTATAAAAGCTATTCTGAGAGAAATAATTTGAACAGATTTATTTATTACGATATTTTTTACACGCTCGTGTTCGTTTTATAAATTGTAAAAAGGAATTGAGAAAATGAACGTAAAATCTCGTATTCCTTTCAACGTTAAATGGAATTTAACTCGTGAAAAAGTAGCTCCGTTTCGTATTTAAAAAATGATAGGGAATGCACGGATGGAGGTAAATTGTAACTGACGAGAGACACGGTGCTTTTTCATCCGTTTAAATTAATCTGAAATTCTGTTTGCGAACTCTGATTCGAACGAGGCTCCACTCGAGTGGCGTCGACAATCGGTCAATGAAGAAGACAGGGGAAAATAAGCGAGTGGCTTCTGTCGTTCCGGGGAAAGAAACACGGCGAAAACGCGAAAGTATCAGACAAGCCCGCGTATATAACGAGTTCTCCAGTATTTTCTTTTTTCAAACTTGAACCAGGTCCCGAATATCCTTGACGTTTTCAGAGTCCTAATGAACCGTAGGTAAAAATGAACTGCAATAAAAATTCCACTCGATATCATTGATAATTAAGCTGTTCAATGCACAGATCGATTAACTCCACTTTTTGAAAAATCTTAAATTTATGAGTTCTTGGTATAGTCATAACTTGTGCTTTGACACATAAATTTAAGATTTTTCAAAAAGTGGAGTTAATCGATGTGTGCAGTGAACGGCTCAATTAATCTTGAGGGACGATGATTCCTTGAATCAGTAGGAATGTTCGAACGATATTCTTGCCTCGAGTCCCGAAGTCGTGGAGGAAACGTATCGAATGCAGGGGGATCGTCGATTCCCTGGGCTGTTTTCCATTTCTATTCCCATGATTTCCGCTGAAAGGGTCCGGCGAAATTTTTACGTCGCGTCTCGAAGGAAATTTCCTCGTGGACAGTTTAATATCACTAAAAGCTTTTTAATAAACAGTCTTTGAGCTCATCGGTGCGGCTGGTTGCTTGCGTAAGAATACGGCCGACGTGCAGGGGGCTTCTCATGAGAATCTCGCCGCCCTCCCGCTTCCACTCTCCGGCGAGGGCGGGTGTGGGAACGTGGAAAATTCAATGCGAGACGCGGCAGAGAGATCGAGGCCGGGGTGGAAAAAATTTGGAGGAAGAATCGTGATACGATGGGAATGGAATTAAAACGAGAAGAGGGAATATACCGGACGGAATGTGGTCAGAACGGAGGAGAGAAGGAGGAGGAGGAGGAGGAGCATTGTGACTGAAATAAAAAGGAAAACCGTGGCTGGGTGAAACAAAAGTTGAGCCGATGAAAAAATAAGAGAGGAGAGAGGCCGGAGGAACGAAAACACGTAAAGCAAACAGCGGGCAAGTCAGTGAGAAAACCGAGGTACGACCTGGTGGGAGAAGGAAACTGGAAACGACGAGAAATGAAGAAAGGAATAATGGGAAAAAAAAAAATCCGCTGACACTAATGGAGGGCAAAAAATAAAAAGTAGACGGAGAAGATTAAAAGAAAATTGGATTATGCATTTCACTGAGATTATAATCCAATGCAACAGGAATCAAATGTACGACCGCGGGACCAAGTTGAATTAAAAGGAACAAGAATGGTTCACAAAGTGACGCAGAGAGAAAAATATTAGTCGTCTGGGAAGTTTCGATTTTTAGGATAGTCCGAGTATAACAGATCGTACATGTGGTAGTATTAACAAAGCCAGAACATCACTGATAAACGAAGAATTTCCTCCATGTACGGATGATTGAAAGGATAATTGAATAAATCGATGAATATACATCAAAATTTGAATGCCTCGAAATTTTCCATTAACCCACATGATTGCATATTTTAAATAAGAAATCTATCGACAAAGTCCGCAATTATTTAGTTGCCAACCCAATAAAAAGAACGACAAAATTCGAGTAAATAGTCAGACTGGTAATCGGAAGAAGCATAAGATCGAAACAGTATAAAATCGTAGCGTGAAACCCGAGAGAAGCCATAGGGTCGTTATTTATTTTACGAAGTAGGTAAGACACACGATATTGTTCGTTTTCGCGTTTTCCAGCCGGACCCTCACCCCCACCGTTTCCAGTCGGCTTTTCTACGAAAAGCATAAATTACCGTGGAGAATTATGGCGAAATAACACGCGAGATCTCGGTCGCTTATCTCTCTTTCTCTCTCGATTCAGCCGTGAGGAAAAAGGGCTCGTGGTTCTCTCTCATATGAGCATTTTTACATTGGTCGCGACCTCGGGGCGGCGTTACGTAATTACCAGAGGGAAACATCGGCCGATCTCGAGATTGTCCACGCTATTATTTCCCGTTGTTTCGCGCGTCGAACCGCGACGTCCATCGTCGTCTCTAGCGTAATTGAAATTTGATTCTATGAATCGGTCTCGTTTCGGTGTAATTTTAGGCTGCGCTTCGTGTAACAGACACCCCCTCGGGGCTGCGATTTTAATCTACACCCAGCGCCAACGTATTTCGAATTACGAGACCAAACATTGCCACGTATTTTAAAATTTCACAGATAGAATGACGTGAAGTTTAACGTGCAATTAAAAGCTCGTTAAAAGAAGTTGAACATAAAATAAAAATACTTCGAGGAGACTATTAAATACGCGCGTTACACGGTTAAAACCGCGTCTGAACGATGAAACTTACCGTGGTACGTAACGTTCATGGTGGAGGGAATTGAATAACTCATGTTGAACCGCGTGGCATTCAGAAATTAAAACTCGGCGAAGTACAGAAAGTTAAACAGGAACTAAAAGGAACGAACTCTCGTCCTGGAGGTAGGAGGCAGCAATTACAACGTGTTTATCTCTGGAAATTTTCCCGACCGGAGTCAATTACAGTGGACAAGAAATCTCTTAAAACTTTTAAAGAAAATCGTGCAGAACGTTTAACTCAGAGGAGCTCGTGCCCCGTGCGACATAATTGCTTGCCTTAAATGAAAACAAAAAAATGCGTTGTGCATTTGAAGTAAAAAAAAAAAAAAGAAGAACGTACCTAGGAATTCCGAAAAATCCCATAAAACTCGAGCGTTCGAATCTCATTATCGGCGACGTGGAGGCACAACGGTAACGGCGAAACGCGACGGTTCGACCGAGTGATCGACTCGATCGCGAGGTACGAACGGCGAGTAGAGGAGGACTCGAGGATCCTCACGCGCGGACGATCGACCGGGAACTGAAAAGGCAGAGGGTTCGAAGGACTGTCATGCGCCCCTGATTCCGTTTCGGCCGCTGTTCAGACTCCACCCACCTTCATTCATCCACGAAGGGAATTACCAGCCGCTGCTTTTCATTATTCCGGGTCTCAACGTGCAGCTTTGCCCCGTGGCCTCGTAGCTAACCCCCGGGAAAAGGGAAAGTTGCGCGGCCCTGTTCGAGTCCGCTGCCCGGACAAAAAAACGATATCCAGTCGGATTTAATTAATTTATTTTTTCTAAAAGAGCCTATTGTAAAATTCTAAATAAATAATTAAACTAATAATTCGAAAATTCTAAACCCTGACTATAATAAATTTAACATCCGACGAGGGAGAGGAGAATAGAGAGAAGAGAAACGGATGAAAATTCTAGGAAGGAGGGGTCACGCTTCCCAGGCAAGAAGCCAACCGGTGGAAATCGGAAGAAGGTGGCTACACGTGAAAAGCTCCTGTTGCCGCGTGTCACGGGGCCAGAGGCAGCAGCTGCACCTGGCGTGGCAGCTGTTAGAAACCGTCCGTTACCTGGTTCGCCAGCACCTGTTCGGATTGCGTGCCGCGTGGACCTTCGAGGACTGCCCATAGCAACACATGGCGCCGAGAGCACCAGAAAAACCTGAAGACTGACTATTAACGGGGGGAAGCCCACTGATATATGCCCATTTCACAGTCTCTCCTTTGACCAAGGGAACCAGTTCCCTCTGCCACTCTTTATAACAACGAGATTCTTATATTATTCCTTTCAACTTTTCCTCTCTTATATATTTCTATCGAAAAATAAGCCTGGCCAATTCAAAGAAGTACATAGGCCCAAAAAGTTCACAATCGTACCTTTTACTATCATCTTCCTAAATCCTATAACA